ACTGATGTAGGGCTTGAAGCTGTGGGTAAAGGTAGCCCTAATCTGAAGCGAGTTTGCCTGAAGAAGTGTGCATTTTTGTCAGACAATGGACTGGTTTCTTTTGTCAAAGCGCTGCATCCCTTGAGATCTTTCAACTAGATGAATGCCACAGGATTACACAATCTGGGTTTTTTGGCATGCTTATTAATTCCTGTGGCAAGTTGAAGGCTCTTGCACTGGCGAACTGCTTTGGAATTAAGGACCTAGTATTTGGGTCTCATTTTAGGGCTCTTCCCTCTTCTATCCGATCTCTTGCTGTGCGTAATTGCCCTGGATTTGGTGATGGTAGTCTCTCCACCCTAGCTAAACTCTGCCCAAATCTGGTGCACCTTGAACTAAGCACACTTGGTGGGATTACTGACGAGGGGCTTCTCCCACTTGTAGAGAGTTCTGAAGCTGGTTTGGTGAAGGTGAATCTGAGCGGCTGTGTTAATTGACAGATAAAGTTACTGCAGCCATTGCTAAGCTCCATGGCTGTACCCTTGAGGAGTTGAATCTTGATGGTTGCAAGTGCGTCACTGATGCAACCCTGTTTGCAATTGCAGAGCACTGCTCATTGCTAAGTGAACTTGATGTTTCCAAGAGCAGAATCACAGATGCTGGCACAGCAGCCCTGGCTGGTGCGATCAGCTCTGTTTGCGAATCCTATCCCTGTCGGGTTGCAATTTGGTGTCGAACAGAAGCTTGCTCTCTGTGGAGAAATTGGGCCAGACGCTGATGGGTTTGAACATCCAGCGCTGCTATGGAGTCAAGTCTGATGCCCTTGATTTGCTTGCTGAGCGACTTTGGAGGTGTGATATCCTTTTCTAAGCAGGGGGGAAAAACTGAAAAACCTAGTCAGAGTATTAAGTTGGTAGACGTGAACAAGTAGATCATGTGGATGTATGGGTAGACGCTTTATGGGTTTCTTGTCCGTAGCTGCATTAGTTTGAGTCCAACATTAGTAGGTCTTTTGTGGTCCATTGTCCTTTAGGTCCTTTTTCCAGTGAACGTGGTCAGCTACTCTCCTTTTTTTTTTTGCAGTTTTCCTCTCTCAAGGGAAACTGTTTCAAGGATTTTGGCCCCGTATTGGGAGTCTTACTTTGTTGATCATACTTCACTGAGAATACAGATGCTGAGCTCTGGTCTAGAGGTTCTTTTGGATGGACCAGTTTTCTGTTGGCAGTTACCTTGTGATGGTGTTTTAAATTTCGAGCCTAGCACTGGTGTTGTGCATGCCATGCTCAGGCTAAGTTATGGTACAATGTCTATAGTTAGTAGTGTTGAGGTCTGTCTATTTCAGTTTTTCCGAGTCTTCCACGTTGTTGAGCCTCTGCGTTCTGCGTGTGTTGGTTGGGTCTCTGTTTTCTCATGGTGAGCTTGATCCCTGGTAGCAATGGTGGTGGTTGCTTTTGGCAGTTTTTAGGTTATCAGTGCCTTGCATTTTCGCGGGCTTTGGCCGTGGCAGCTGCAGCAGCATGTTCTTCAGTCTGCCATGACAACTCTTGGCTGGTTCCAAGAGTTGTTTTTTTAACCGAGCCCTAGTTTTGCAGGCTTCTCTTGTTTATGAAACTGTCCCCTGCGACCATCATCATGTTCCTGTAATAGAGATGTTTTTAGCTCACTATTCACACTTTTTGTGATGGATCTGTTGCAATAAATAAGAATCTTCATTTATGTTAGTAAATACCTTTCTCCAGGGCTAGTGTGGTTAGTTAGTTGTTTCTAACATATGGCTAGTGTGGTTCCTTCAATCCCTTTTTGGAAAGTAAACGGAGTCTTCTCATGAAATTTCCAGCAGCCTGCAGGAAAGGCATTGTTGATTGATGGGAACTGGACTGAAGGTGACCTTTATTAGGTGCATGTACCACCGTTGTTCATAATCAAAGTTTTTGAGTGCATGCATCTGCGTGGGATGAAGCAATTGACATGTCAAGAAAGTGTTAAAAAAGTGCAAAAAATGCATTCGGAACTGAGATCCCAGTTGCAATTTTTTAGATTAAATTGACTCGACTGCGTTGAAGTCTACCAAAAAAGATTAGAAAGGACAGGAGAGAAGGAAGGGGAAAAAAAAAAAAATACTAGAAGAAGGTTTCGAATTAAGACATCATTATAGGCATTATTAACAATCTGATATTTTTCTTCGCAATTTATTATCAGCAAAAAAAAAAAAAAAAGGGAACAAAGAATTGAATAGTTTCGTGACGAAATATTTTTCTTTATATTTCTTGCTATTATTTTCCAAAGTCACTAGATGAAGTCGGAAATTTATCTGTTTGGATTGCTATTTTTAAGAGTTCTGGTAGAAAAATATGCTGTAGTTATTTAATATATATGAAGTAAAAAAGTGATTGAAAAATATGTTTACGAAAAACGTAAAAATTCTTCATGGAGAACACAATCCAAACTAGGATTCAATAATAATGTCTTCATAGAAAAAAAAAATTATGAGTGGTTGCAGTGTATAATAGCTTAAAACAATTCAAAAAAGTGAGAACAAATCCCTTTGGATTAGCCTCAATTCAAGAAATTTGACCTGGAGATTGAGATTCCCCAACACGTTGGATTTGATGCGACCCTTTATCCCTGCCATTGATTTAGTATTATAAAAGCGTTAATTATACTTTGCGCCTCTGAGATGTCATCGATTTGTGGTGTGCGCTCTAAGTTATCAATTATTGCACTTAAGTGCCTTATAAATCATAAATACCAGTTCATAGCATATTGTTCCAATCGATTGCCACAACAAAAATTGTTTTGGAAGCTTTTTTTTTCTTTTAATTATTATTAATGAGAAGACTTCAAATCCCATTAACAAATATATTCAGATTAGGGGTTCTAAAATCTATCAATTCAGGAAACATTATTAATTAATACATTCAGCTATTGTTGTTCAAACATCATTTGGTCCAAACTGGGCTGCAACAACCATTATGCATTCTTGCAAGTAAATAGAGTGGTGAATGTACTTTAGACGATGTCGTTCAATATCTACCATATTGAGTTGATAGAATAACAACTTTGTTTATCCTTATTGAATTAATGTTTCATATATGGTCATTGTATACATCTATTAGTCCTTGTTACAAAGACAACTAATTTTAAATAAAATTTTTTGTACACGTGGCATGCATTCAAATCCGATAGTGTATCAAAAGATTAATGTGTATCTATTTTACCTGCAAATTAACAGAGAGTTGAGTCTCCACCAACAAAAGATCACATAGTTTTAGGATGTGTTCTATAAAACAAAATTCTAAAAACAGAAAATCAAAAAATCTGAATTCATTAATTTACTAAATTGTTAAATACTAACATGATATATTTAGCTTATCATCTAACTTTTGGAGCAGGTTTTGCCTAAAAAAATTCAGTGCCACTTAATTAATGCATATGTTCTATATTTGGTTATCAAACGCGTCTGAACATATTAATATCTGAATTTATTAAGTTTAAGTGGTGTTGAATTGGCTTATCAAATAGGGTTGTTAGTTGATTACTTTTCGAGCATCATCCCAGCATACGGAGTCGTTGCATCGTTATCTTTGATGGGGAAATTTTTTTTTTTTTTTTTTTTTTAAAAAGCAAAGGATTTAAAGCCTTAATTTGGCAGACCCTCAAGAAAGTAGCTCACACACCTAGCTACCAATAGATTTAATTGGATCTGATTTATCATAATGAATGAAGCCAACTAAAGGGGACAATTATAAAACTCAAAAAGCCCATTTTTGGTTTTCCTTTATCTATTATACCTACCACTACGTCACTTGAAAGTGGTAACTAAACAATCTGATCACAATTTGTTTGCACAAATTTGAAGATGAATTTGAATACGTAATCCTGTTTAAGACTTATTAATGTGTTTAACTTAAACGGCCACATTAATTAGTAAGGTAACCTTTCCACTGAAGCCAAGCCGCAAAAATTAAAAATCTGTGTTTTGGTCTTTAAAACGGGGGCTTGGTATCGCCCACTAGCAACTCTATTGATCCCTCCTTCCCAACCTATTAGAAATAGGGAAGAAAATGGTTAATGTTAGGTAAATAGTTGGGTGTAAATCGAGTCTTGTGAGTCAAGAATCGAGAAGTTCAAGCTCAACTCACAAAATAAAGTCGAGCTTTCAGATTTTTCGGGTTCAGACTTTCGGCTTATCACGTAGCAAGACGGACTCATATTCGGTACTCTTTACAAAGATAAAAGAGTTTTGGACCTAATCAGAGTTTGATCCAAATTCACAATTCATTCATAATTATATATAAGAAAATGTTATTTGCACTTTCATTACTTGTTTTATCATATAGTTTAACAAATGAAAACTATACAATAAACATGATAATAGAAGTGTGATTAACAAAGAGGAGAGTGCAAATAACATTTACTACCATATATTATATAATACACATAAAATTGTTATCATTATATATATTGTAAATTATGTAAAGTTGTTATACATGCAATTATCAAATAACGTGCATCATTATTGTAAATTTTAAAAAAAAACACATACTTATACACATATTTGGTCGGGCTGAGCTTTAATCGAATTGAACCTCTTTAAATCCAAACTCGGCTTACAATTGTACCGGTACACCGAAGCTCAGCCTAGTCCAATGATGTACAAGAGCAAGGTTATACCCTAAATAGAGCCCCATTTGACAATTGAGTTTTTTGAGTGTTTGTCTAAAATTTTACTGTACTTTATAGTAGAAATTGTAGAAAAAATTTTTGAAGTGTATAAATTTTTGGATATTTTGAAGTATATAATTAAAAAACTTTGAGAAATTTTTTGAGGTTATTATAATTAAAATTGTTAAAAAACTTGTAGCAGACAAACTTGGCTAAAAACGGCCCGGTGATAGGTCCCTAATTATTTAGGCCGAGTTCGAGAGCTGGCCCGGCTCCATTATTGACAATCCTCCCAAATGCTATGCTAGTAATAGTATAAAATAGGAAGCCATGCATGCTCGGGATTCTGCAAACGATTGTCGATAGGAGATCAACAGGTGCCAATGGACCTTTCTTCAAACTCCATTCCTCTCTCTCTCTTCCTAGCCTTCGTTTTAGCTTTGTTGATGCAATGGAAGCGGCCCAATGCAGCAGCCCAGAAGCAGAAGCTGCCACCATCTCCATGGAAGCTTCCTTTCATTGGAAACTTGCATCATTTGGTGGGTTCACTACCACATCATGCCCTCAGAAAATTAGCTCAGAAACATGGACCTTTAATGCACCTACAGCTCGGTGAGCTGTCCGCTATTGTGGTATCATCACCTCGTATGGCGGAAGAGGTTATGAAAACTCACGACCTTGCCTTTGCAGACAGGGCTGTATCCCAAGCAACCAGGATCGTAGTGTATGGCGCTTCAGACATTGCTTTTGCCCCATATGGTGATTACTGGAGACAGATGCACAAAATTTGCACCCAGGAACTCCTCAGTGCCAGAACTGTCCAATCTTTCAGCCCCATTCGCCAGGCCGAGGCTTCGCGGCTCGTTTCATCTATTCAGGCTCTGGCTGGTGGTAAAGAACCAATCAATATAGCAGAAAAGTTGTACATGTATTCCAGTTCCATGATTCGCAGATCAGCATTTGGCAAAGTAAGCAGAGATGACCAGAATGCTTTCGTGCTGATAATCAAGGACGGAGTCGCTGCAAAAGGCATGGAGATTGCTGATCTATTCCCATCCTATAAGTTTCTTCATTTCTTTAGTGTGGTGAAGATTAAACTGGAAAAGTGGATGCAAAAGCAGGACAAAGTTTTGAGCAACATACTTCGTCAGCATATTCGCGACTTTGCAACTAAAAAATCGTCCACTGGTGGTGAATTTGGCCAAGAAGATCTGATTGACGTCCTGCTACGAGTAAGAGAAAGTGGTGGCCTTCAATGTCAAATGACAGACGATAACATCAAAGCTGTCATAGTGGTACGTACTCTTTTTTCCCCCCTTCTTTTTCAAAATTAACAAGGAGAGTCTATTCTTTTTGCGAGCAGTTATTCCAACAACCTCTGTCATGTCTAACTCGTTGGATTTGAGGTCATTTGGAAGCTTCCAGTCAAAGTGGTAAAGCAGAAGAGCTAAAGGAAGCTCAATATTGACGAGACCCAATACTTAGGGTCTATTCCAATTGCCCAGGCATTAACCATTACTCTTGTTTTGGTGGGGATTACATATCCATCAATTTCACATTGCTCCCTGCATTCTCTGGGAACTAGCAAAGGGACAGGAGGGTGTAACCTTAGAGTTTCTTTAATCAGTTACACCCTCCTGTCCCTTTGCTAGTTCCCAGAGAATGCAGGGAGCAATGTGAAATTGATGGATATGTAATCCCCACCAAAACAAGAGTAATGGTTAATGCCTGGGCAATTGGAATAGACCCTGAGTATTGGGTCTCGTCAATATTGAGCTTCCTTTAGCTCTTCTGCTTTACCACTTTGACTGGAAGCTTCCAAATGACCTCAAATCCAACGAGTTAGACATGACAGAGGTTGTTGGAATAACTGCTCGCAAAAAGAATAGACTCTGCTTGCTGGCCACCTCATATAGTCCATCCCCCTGAGATGTTTGACTCCAAAATCTTAAAGACTGTTGCAGATTTGGGAGGGCCGGCTGATCAAGTGAAATTTGGCTTGATGTTATAAACTAGTACTATTACTTCTTTTAGCACCGTAAGTTTTTAAATATTAAATCCCATGGGCAATTCCACTTGGGGTGCTGTCGAGCCGAGCTCGAGCTCCAGTTTAATTAAATGTAATTAATTCAAATCAAGCTCAATCGAGATTATTCGAGTTCAATAAAGCCTAATCAAGCTCAAGTAATAAAAATTAATATTTTATATATAATTTTACATAAAGGATATTATTGACATTTCACAATAATAAAATTAAAATATATATATATAAAAAGCTCGATAGAGCTCGTCGAGCTCTCGAGTATCATATTTCCAAGATCAAGCTCGAGCTCGAGCTGCTGACCAAGTAGCTCGCGAGCTCGAGCCGATCTACTTGGTTCAGCTCCAGCCCTATAATAGATTCCACTAATACTTGCTCCTATACTAAATAAGGGATGCATTCTACTCTTTCTTTTTTTTTGAATAGAGTATTATTTAGAATAATTACTGTAGCACTTTGTGTGATGTGATGTATGTGACGTACTCATTCCGTTCTATTGAAAGTGTCTTACTTTTTATTTTTGTGATGGATGTCCCAAAATATTTGTCCGATTGAGAAAGTCAAAGCATCTTTTAGTTTCCCTTTTCAATATAGTTTCTTTCTCTAATCATACGTATGATACCATTTAAATTCAAAAATTTGAATTTGTGGGAGTAAAATTGAAAAGAGAAATACAAACATCACAATCAAGTCACTATTCTTAAAAAAAATTAGATTCTCGAGATAGGACCAAATAATTGGGACGGAGGGAGTAAAAAGATAGTTGAGAATATAAAAAAGTAGATTAGAAAATGTTACAAGCGCAATATTATTTGAAAAAAATTTAGCTATCCAAACACTCTTATGAACGAACGCATCAGAATTCAAAAAGGGTTGTATTCTATACTTACTCCTATACTCCTATATTTTTAGAGCTTTTGAACGCATCAAAATTCAGAAGGGCATGTATTCTAAATAATGTTCCTCAAGAAAGTCACAGCAGCCAAATGGAAGTGTTGGTATACTTGCAATGAATAGAAACAATTAGTTGATGGCTCAGTGGGCGCTTAAGGAGTTCAGTGGATGGAATAGCCTGATGGATAATGCTGTGGCTCTCAAACTTGCCATGATCAAAGCAAAGGGAACAACAGTGGAGGAGGATTGAAGCAGAAATCCCACAGAAACGACTGATGAAGATGATAGAAACCAGCAAGACTAGGGATATGAGACTGTTTTCCCACCTAAAGGATATCAACGATCTAAGCTCAATGTTTGTGAGATGCTCATTTGTTGTAGCTAGGAGTGATGATACTAGTGTTAGAACAACTAACTTTTGTGATGATGCATTAAGCATGCCTTTTGATGAGGAGTGGTTACTTCCTCGGCGCTTTATGGCACTTGTATAGCTCTCGTGGAGCCTTTGCTCACTGCGTGTATAATTCATGCACAACTCTAATAAAATCATCTATCGTCTCCGGAAAAAAAAAAAAGAAAGAAAGAAAGTCACAGCAGCCAATACAAGCTTCAGAGGTGACCAAACTAAAATGCAAATAGAAATAAAAGTCTTCATTGATAAGCAATACTCAATTGCTAATTAAAAGTCTTAGCAGCCAATACAACATTCAGAGTTAACCAAACTTAAAAGCAAAGTAGCCAATACATATATCCTGAACTAATAGTAGGTGAATCCCCTCAAAGCCAAAAATTTCCCAGTTCGTAAGTAGGACTAGGGCACATTGAAACATAATAAATAAGGGCATCAAATTGACCAACAGTGACCTTAAAATGCTGCAATCAATCTGCTTGTCTTAAGGATCACATTCCAGCAATCTTCAGATGTATATTACACAATCAAACCTTGCCATTATAAACATTGAGGCAACAACCATCACTACAATATCAACCGTTTCTTCATCATCAAATGAATCAAGTATTACTCGCATCTCTTGCACAATTTTCAGGCAGATGATGGGACAAAGGGTAGCCTAATAAATATACATTGGATTTGCATGCTGCTATATTTAATGCTCCGCTGATATGGCTAGTTCACCAAGGCTACCTCAGCTTGAACTTCACCAAAATGCTCAACATCAGTACCAGGCTGAGTCTGGTTTGGCTCAAGCAATGGTGTTTCCTCCTGCTTTTGCACGTCACCTGCAGCTCCACTTTTTGATGAATTGTCTGCCTGAGAAGAACTTCCACTCATTTCCTTTGATATACTAGTTTTTCTGGAAGACGCTTTTCTTGTTTCACCAGACAAGCTAGTTTTCTGGGAAGGCAGTTTAGGGAGGGACTTCCTCAGAGGTTTCTTGAGATTGACAATCGAAGGTCCCTTGACAGAGTCATTTTGCGACAACTTCTCATCCAAGCTTAACCTGCTCGTGTGTGTTCCTTCATCACTCTCTTCTTCAGAAACTCTACTCGGGGAGCTTTTCTTCCGACCAAGCTTAGGAGATTTAGCTCTTGTTGTTGGTATCTGCATGGTTGAGTATAACAACAATGAAAGGCATAATAGATGGCTGACCATTTCATTTTAGTTTAAAGCATGATAAACATACTTTTCAAAGCATTAATGATACAGTAACCAACAATGTAATCAAATTTTGTCCCTTCGGGGACATTCGATAAAAAAACAATGTAATCAAATTTTGACAAACTGAATCTGTATTCTCTTTCTTTTAAAACAAAATTTCCATTTATGTGCTTTTTCCTCAATTAGTTTACAAGTGTCAAAGGACTCTTAATTACCAATGGCCAAACAACCTAAGCCACAAATTGACATTCCCACCTCTAGTGCTCAACAACTTGCTCCATGTAATACCAACCCCAAAATTAAAAAACACCAAGTCTCTCCTTTGTTGAGTGTTTAACGCAGCCTTTGAAACGCTTTAAGAATCAACCATTACAATGTGTTCTCCCTCCATCTATTTGATATCCCTCTCATGATATCAAGGTTTGGCCAACATGGTTTTAGAGAAGGGAACATTTACCAAACACACTTATAGAAGTCTCCCGATTTGAGAAGGCCCATCAATGTTTGGCCAGAAATTACAGACTTCCATAGATAGTATACAGTTAGTTGCCCAGAGAGGGGTGGAAGCTTTGGGCTAAGGCAGTTTCTCATTAGGTCCACGTTATTTAAAAAACTCTTACACATATCCAGTGACAGGCAGTAGAAAGCTTACTATACCCAAAGTAAAGCTAAAAATTGAAGCTTCCTAAATCAACATCATTTCCATTAAAAACCAGCACAAAACCAATTATCATCCATGTAATTGTTGCTTTTCATTTTTCAGCAAGTTAATACAAGGTATACTTAATAAGTACATAATTCAGAAACGAAGAGTAGATTTTATCCAAAAATTCAGCAGAGCAGCAGATTGAGATTTACTTCCAAAATAAAGAAAATACATTAAATAAATGCAGTATCTTCAATAGTTCTCTTTTCAAATTTTAGAAGGCTTACCCTGCTGATTAATCATTAGCCCACTTGTACAAATACCAGTTGTGACATTACCAAAAATATGTAAATTCAAATAAATACCACTAACTCAAAGCAGCGTAGAAAATTTGTTATACTCTTTTTATGTTTTTAGCATGAAAAATGTTAACATGATATAGGTACAGTACAGAATAAGATAATATAATATAGCACAATAAATATTTAACTAAACCTTATTCTCATTCTTTTCCATCTAGAAAAGTTAAACAGACAACCATTTCTCAAACCTCAGCATGGCTTGAGCACATGTTCTGTTTATCTACAGTTTGCATATATCTATTGCATACCTTTCACCTAATGTGTGTCTAGGAATGCTTGTGACACCATGATCCACCACACTTGAGGCAAGTATGACACAGATTCATGCAAATGGGGCTCCAAGAACCCACTATGCTTGCAAGTATACAATGTCTTCAATTAGATTTTGCACAAAACCAGTTTCTTAAGTCGTTTTTATTCTTTATCGTACGCTGCTCCTCTGGAATTGCGTTTAATTCACATTTGAAGGTACGTTTTACCAAAAGCAGATAGGTAGACCAATTCCAGTTAGGGACAACAAGGCAAAACCGTGCTCAGTAGGGGCTAAAGATAGGTAAATCACTGAGATTGAAACAGTCTGATTGTGAACCCAGCTTTGCAAAAAATATATGTAGCTTTCGCAAATGTATTTCTTGCCTCTGTATTTCAGTTGGTTGACTTTATTGAAGAACTGGCTTCTAGAAAGTAAAACCAAAACCAAAACCAAACAAACTGCTTGCAGACTTGCATTTTTTTTTATTTCATTTGATTTTGCCCATTATTTTTTAAATGGCAATGGACCCATTTTAGTGCCAAAGACACAAGGCCAAGCAATCAATTCTAATTACGTGATAACTATATTAAAATTGGGCTAAGTTCACTGGTTTGCAATACTTACTAGACTCTTTCCTTAAAATTGGGCTAAATTCACTGGTTTGCAATACTTACTAGACTCTTTCTTTAGGCATTCATTGCTTTCCTATTCATCAACTAGACATGCTAATATACTAGGCATCAGCATAACTGAACCACTGTGCCACTGCAAATTTCAACTGGGTGAACCTTAGTGGACTTTGAGGAAGAAATCTACCAAACCAGATTTCCGCAAGCATACAGTCAGAAACACTTAAAACTATCTCCAAATTCATCATCTGATAGAAGGAAAAAGGATTTACTCTTAATACTATTCTTTGAGACCTTAACCACGAAACATCTTACCCACTTAAGATGTATGTTTTATTTTCTAAATGCCAAACTAATTTAAGGTTGCAAAACCAAGTCCGAAGGGTTCATACAGTTCAATGAAGCAACAACCACCAACAAAAGATTGCTTGATTTTAGCTAAATGAATGTAACTATCCCAAATGGCATTCAACACCAGCAGCAATTCTCTACATCCCAGTACTGTAACATTACTTTTACATATTTCAATTTCTGTAACAGGATTACAAGCTCAGGGATTTGAAGCATCAATTTATGTACAATCTTCCTCCATAAATGAGGTCCAACACAAAACTCAAACATTAAATTTATGCTTTTAAAAGCAAAATTACCTTCTTTAGTTCTGCCTTGGGAGGTGGAGGCTCCTGATAGAAGCTTGGCATTGGTGTTGCTTTGAACATCAAACTCTTCCTCAACATTTTAATCTCAGCTTCCAGCGTTTCCTGCCCAAGGGAAACAAGAACGAACAAGAATTAGGTCATTACACTGCTTACCATTTGAAGGATTGCAAGACAAACCTAAAGATTTCACCTTTGATTTTGCTTGCAAATTAGTCTTCTCCACTTCCTTTGCCTGGATCTTTTCCTCTAGTTTTGAGTAAAACTGTAATAAAAGGTTTTTCTCTATCAACACTAGAATATCATTCTGTAAAAGTTGTAGTTTCAGTGCAGCTTATTCGAAAAGCTAACCTCTTTTCGTTTCTCAGCCCTTTCATTACATCTGAAACTGAAGCCATAGTTTGGAAGAGTACCCACTTTGCGAGGCTTTGCATCTTCAGCAGGACTTCTGTATAGGGGTTAAGGACAAAACGTCCATAATACTACTTATGCAAGCAACTTGTTTCTCAATCACATACAGGAAATCAAAGGTTTGAACCTTAACAACTAACTGTAAGGAAAGAGATGAAAAGGAAAAGGCCGATAAGTAGGGAGGAAAAAAAGACAAACACATCTCACACACACACACACACGGGTAGGATACACAGATTCTGCCACTCCTTCAGTTTTACTTGATTGGCTCTTTTTCAGTACCCTCGGCTTAGTCTTCTCCCTGCAGTGAGAAATAAATTTTGCTAATTGCTGGAAAATAACAAGTGAACAACACATAACACTTTAAAAATTACTTTTAAGATTGAAAAGAAATTAAAGTCAGAAGATTCATAGGAAGGAGCCCTCTCATGATCTTCCTATGAGCTCTGGCATGTGAGACAGAGTTGCACCGTAGACATCATTAAGCTTGAAGGAGCATGTGAAATTAATGGTCAATTCAAGAAAACATATACCTGTTGCAGTCAGATTGTGCAGCAGATGTAGATGATATCAATTCTGGCTGCTGGATTTGCTGCTAAACACAGAAGAACATCAGTACAATGCTCACTACCAGAGAAAAGGAACACCATGAATAATCAACATGACATAATAGAATAGTGTCAGTATCAGCATCTACCTTGGACTGGCTAACATTGGTTGAAGCAGATGCTGCTAGCCTCTCATTGAATGATTTACTCTTTGATTTTGCAAATGACAGTTTAGAGTTTGATTCTGAAGCCAGGGTGCCATTTGAAACACCAGAAGCAGTCAGCACATCTTTTCCATCCTTGCTCTTTTTAACCCCTGTTTCAGAAA